GGATAATGAACAAAACATTTTTTAACTACCGGGTATGTCCCATTGAAATTTGAATTCTGTTGCATAGACAAAATAATAACACAATTTAATTTTTAAATAAAATTTACTCCCCCCACCACTTTTGCACACAAAAAATGTGGATACTATCACTATTAGTAACTAAAGTATCAGTTTCAAATCCACTGATGTTTTAAAAGGCATTATGAAAGATATGTTTTCAAATTAGTAAGAAACTGGCATTATAAATTAAGCCCTCTTGTAGCTTTGGCTATTCTATTAATACTAATACTAATACAGGTGTTTTAATTTATAATAAGGAAATACTTCAAATACATTGTAGAACCTTCTACTACACTCAATTTGAACTTTCTGTAAACTTCAAAACTACCGGTATCTTTACATCTCACTTATAAACATTTGAGTGAATTTGAAGGAAATCCTAGACTTTTTTAGTTAAAAAAACAAAAAACTTCTAAAAAAACAACAAGATACTCTATACTGGTACTACTCAAAAAAATGTTTTCCATTTCTATTAAGGTGAAAATAAGTGCCCAGGTTGGGCCTGATCTAAAAGGTTACCGGTACGGTATGTTTTAATTACCTGGTAGCACTTAGATTAAGATAGGGACCCTAAAATAATTCATCAGATAAATAGACCAGTTTAAAAATTTTTAAGATGTCTGATAAAAATCTGTTGAAAACTAACATTTGTGTACCCGGTATAAGTAAGCAATAAATCATTAATGAAATTAGTCTCCATGACCCCAACAGTGATGAATATGAATTGAAACTCTCCAGCCAGCTTTTAAATATTATATTAAGAGCATTTGTACCAAGTTTGTTCTAAAACTATCTATTAATTTTATTTATATAGCCCATATATTTTAAAAAACAAAGTTATACCGTACCCCCAAAACTTGAAAAGGATATTTAAAAAACTAAATGAGAGACAGCAGAAGTGTAAATGAGCATTCTATGAAGTACTGGGTACCCATACATAAATGATGTAGGCTAATGATTCAAAATGATTGTAAAAGTTTTATTAATTTTTTAAAAACATTTTCTGCACAGTTGCATTTAATCTTGACAGTTCCATAAATACATTTAAAATTTTGATATCACTCCTAAAAAGTAAGATTTGAAGACAGCGATGAGGCCATGACAGGCAGTTCCCGCTCATACTAGCGAGAAGCCAGAAAAGGAACTGCTCATTCCTGCCAAAGACAACCAGGGACTGGAACAAGCTTTCAAAAGGAACAGTTGAGGCGACAACACTTGACACATTTGCGTCTATTACCTCAGGCCTTCCAACCCCCAGTACATGACACCCTCACAAAGTAGCCCTTGCAACCAGTGAAATATCATCAACACCAGGCACAGAAACATTGCAAATCCCCTCTACATGCATAGTAGCCAAAATGATCAATGAAGAAGGGTGGGGGGAAAAGAAAAAATATCAGTAAGAAAACAACAGGTGGCCAGGACTGCTATTTAAGCTCTATTCCAAACTCAATTGCCATTGGTAGAAATACATATGACTTCCTTAAGTTGTTTACAATGCAACAACCTCATCATTTGACTATTCTATTAACTGGATTGGTTTCCTATTGGCAGCCAATCATAACACCCCCTCATCCTACTGCCTATGTAAAATATGGATGACCACTGGAAATAACATACAAGAACATTTAATAAATACATGACATCAAATATTATGTAATTACATTTATTGTTGCTAAAAGCCGGCCAAAAGCAAAAACCTTAACGGTAAGATTTCTGGTAACGGGAACGAGCACCTGGACCTCCAAATTTCTTGGGCTCGCAGCGACGTGGATCAGCAACAAGCAGAGACCTGTCGTACTGAATCAGAACATCCTTGATTTCCTTCTTGGATGCTTCATCAACATCTGTCAAACAAATATTCAAATTCATTTATCAATGTCATTTGTGAG